TCGGATGATTACACTACTCGCCTGCGGCTCGTAGTGCAAACTTCATCCTTCGTGAGTAATAATCATCATTACCCGCTCGTTGAATAATCTAGGTATTCTTTTGATCTGAACAAACTGATTGTAATCACATGAGGTTTGTTCATGAGGCGTCAAAAAAAAAAACAGTTAGGGCCAATGAAATCGTTATAAAACCGGATGACAATTGTTTGAAACAAACCTCAAATAAGTTCGATCAGTTTGTTCAGATCGAAAGAATACCTGTTATATACTATTTTCATTGATTTTTATCAGTAACCTAAATGTAAACAACATGGTGTCTGACCTGAATTCCATATTGAATTTCGTTTAACAGGTCATAAGATTGCCTAATATGAAAAAAATAAAGTGCAGCGCCGTACATGTGAAAGAAATGAAACTCCTTGGAAACTATCCCCCTCATCTCATACAACTTTCAGAGTTAGCGTATGAGTCCGGGTACGAAGGGAAACGCGCATCTGTAGTGACGTCACAAGGGTATCGGCGCTTGATAATAATACGGTATCCGCCGAAATAAACAGTACCGAAAACTAGAGCTCTGAGTAATTGATCACGCAAGTTGCATTTATCATATTTCGCTCACTTGGCATTAGTTATAAGGTTGACGTTAAGTTAAGGTTAAAATCTTCATCATGTATGTTTCAACCTTGGACAAGGAAAAAAGAGGGGACGGGTAACAGGCATTTACAAGCTTGCGCGTGAATGTGTGACCAAAAATTGATCGGCGGCCATTATCGTGGTGCCAAACAAACAACTTGACACCCGGCATATTTTCTGTATTTATGCGACGAAAACGAATGAAATATATTTGTTTTAGTATCTGATCAAGATGGTAATTTCTGATGCTATCCATTGCAAGAGTCGTAGCGACAAGAAAGTGCCAGGAATTACGTTTCACATCAGGTGAATAAATAATTCTTGTTTCAACCTGGTTTTCTAACCTACAAAAATATTTCCATTATAAAGCCTGGTGTCATTTTATCACAATTTAGTTTCATTGGTTACTCGTCCCCTCTTTTTTCCTTGTCTGAGGTTTCAACTTAAGAAACAGTTTTCTTAGTAGAGCACTAAGTATTTCCGGTAATACGGATTTGGAAGGAAAAATGACTCAAGTTTGAAACAAGTCTCAGAAAAATTTCAGTAGCCACTCTTAATAAATATTTTCACTGTAAGGACGAGGTAAGGACAGTCGTGAGCATTAAAAAGGGAACACCCGATTTTTCCTATTGTGAAACTCACCAGCTACACCGTCGGCAATGACAGGGTTTGTCATGATGATTGACAAAAAATCCGTTGTACAGAAAAGACTGGTTCACCCAAAATAGCCGAAAATGACAAGACCTGTCAGTCGGGTGACGGGTGTCCCAGTTTTTATGCTCACGACCATCTCACGACTGTACCTACATAATGACGGTTGACATATAATATAATCAAAAAAAATCACGACACACAAATGTATAAATAACGAAAATAATCACTAAACGCGTTTCTGCAGAAATCACAAACCAGTCAGAGTGAATTTCATTGGTTGAAACTAGTTTTCTGACTATTTCTGACTGTTTTCAACCAATGAAATTCGCTCTGACTAGTGTGTAATTTCTTGAGAAACAGATCTAGAGTATAACAAAAGTAAGACGCACATTTGTAGTGACGTCACAAGGGTATTGGCGCTTGTCAATAATAGGCAATCCTTGTTGCGCTTATAATCCTTGGTTTATGTCAATCAATAGCTGTCTTTCTCCGTCTTTTTACGTTATATATCTTTCTTCTATCTTGAGTAACGAAATTTACCCGTGACTCGTTTCTTCAAATCACTCTCCATTGTCATCCAAATATCAGAACGCCGCCTAAGGGCCGGTTTCTCAATAGCAAGTCACCCCCGGGTTAAGCGCCAGGGTAAACATTGTAACTCGACACGCTTACCCTGGAGTTAAAACCAAACCGGAGGTGACTCGCTAATCAGAAATCGGCCCTAAGCCGTTTCACTTCAAAATATTTTTGTGGATTTATCCGAGTCCAGAGTCAGAATGTGTTTTCATCGATTGGCGAATGCGACTTGATATCGCAAAAACTAACACGCGGCCATTTTTGTATTTTTCTTTCGCACTCTTGAACCCTGCTCTGCACCCCCTTATTGCCATATCCAGGACAGGACAAAGCCACTCGAGCAGCTGGTTTTTAACACTACAATGCCCACTCGAGAGTCTGTTCGATCGAAAACTTTATTTTATTTTTACGATCGATTTTCCATGGCGTGCGTTAGTCAGAAAAAGCTCCCCATAAAACATCTATAAGCCCTATGGAGTGTGTATTAATTTCATCTAATTATTTTATTATTTAAGCTCACTTACTTGTGAGAGAATAGTTAGGAGCTGTCAGAATTTTGCGCAGATTTGAAAAAAAAAAACATCCTGCTCAAACTTCAGACAGTTGAGAACTTCCTAGTAGTATAGTTCCAGCGATAACCCGAAAATACCAAAAGTAACGTTTGTTCTGGGGTTTGATATTAAAAAAATGCATAACATTTCAGCTGTTTCTTTAAAACTATGATTGGGTCAACTTGTTCATTAAATGATCACCATTCTTGATGTTATGGAAAAATTTGCATTGATCTTTCTTTGATGACCTGAATTGAATCAGTACCTATATAATGTAGGTTTCTTGTAGATGCAAGTGATCAGTGCTTGTATCCAAAAATAAATCATGAAACTTATTAGAAAAAACTTACTCAGGAGATTAAAGAGACATTTTAGGAAATTAGTAAACCAAACGAGAAACCTATCATTCGTAGAAAGATACAAAACAAAATAGAAAATAAGAAAAGTTAAGAGAACAACGTCAACGTAAGAAGCGATTGATCCTGCTGTTTGAAAGAAATCCAAGAAATCTGCAGTAAAATTATCATAATTCACGCTACAAAGTTTCTTTCTCACACACGCATGAACAAAAATCCAAACGAAAATATTTTGATTGCAGCTTAACGTCACACTTCATCATCCATTATTTGCCATTAAAAAAGGATTAAATCTGGAGGGATAGCTTTACCTTTCGGCCTGAACGCAACTAAATCCCTTATCAAACAGAGATTATGGTAATTACAACCCCTTTTGTCTATTTAACTCCCCAAATTATATCAGGCGTGAGTATTCTTTTTCTTATGATTTCACTCACTTACAAATTGAGTTCAAGAAAGAAAAAAAACTGAATTTTTTGTTGGCACCCTTCAAAATTATATTATGTACCTAATTAAATTTTGGTGGTGAAATACAGTGTCTGGATGGCAAACCCTCCCGCAGGCCAATATAACGATCCAGTGACGATTATTGTAACGCAATCGTGGGGGTTAATAATCGACCCAAGGGGTGCTTTTGTGCTACCCTAATACGAGGGAGGGTTCTACTCGGTTTAAGGTAGTTGTTTTGTCAGTCAATTGAGAATCGAGTTATGGGCAGTTTATCTAAGAAAATCCGGTCAGAGAATATTTCAATAGAAATATTTGAATAAAAAAGTTGATGATTGTAAAAGTGGCCGCCATTAATCGAATATTAGTTGATGTTCTTGGCGTTTCGCTTAACATGTTCAAGTTAATCTTTAGTAGGTACCTACCTACACGTTGTAGGACAATGCTGCACGTATACAACCCCAAGACGAGGTCAGTCCAGTCTCAAAGGGTTAATTTGGGTTATGTTGTTATGAACAAACGGTCCAGTTGCAAAGATAGGTTTATAACAAATTCCTGACGTTACAAGGGTATCGACGCTTGTCAATAATAGGCAATCCTCTTTGCGCCTATAAACCTTGGTTTGTGTCTTTCACCGTCTCTCTACGTTATATCTTTCTTCTCTCTCATGTAACGAAATTCTCGTCTCGCTCTGATGAAATTAAGACGTCGATGCTACGCAGTTGCTACATTGAAATTTTGAATTAGAGAGTTTCAGTAAAGAAGTTGAAAATATGTTGACGTAACAACTCAACAAGGAAATATCAAAAATAAAATGCCACAAAACTGCTTTCAACACATCCGACAGCCTAAAAATCATAAATCATGAACTATGGCCACAACAACAAACATCCTAAACCACGCTGCACGGTATCCGTCAAACACCATCAAAAATAATTTTTTAATGACGTGGGTGGATGTGCACTCGGTCCGCTGCCTTCTTTCACCCTGCTAGGGATCGACAAGTGGCCCCGTTGGTAATTGAGGAATAATCGTATACTCCCTCAGCGCGCCGATTTTAGGGGGTTGTTAGTTTTCCTTTCCTGACAATGGTAGAAGCGAAAAGGGTCGATGAAAAAATTGGAATCACGCTGTGTGATTTCGCTCAATAGCTTTATATTATAAGCGGGTTTTGCGGCAAGATTTTATTAATTTTGTTATGAAAAACATTTTTATATTCTATAGTGGACTATGATTCAATAGACGCAATATGAAACATAGACAAAAGCTTATATAGCGGTCAACTTGGAGCAAAAAGTAATTAATGTTGATAAACACTCGTCGCGCTCCAAGCGGAGCTTCATCCTACTAATCAAGAGCTGGTTTTCTTCAAGTTTGTTGACACAATCCTTGCTTCGTTTCGCTACTGGAGGCCATTATGCGTTGCAGGAATACGTACACCATCAGCAGACCCGTACAAAGAATCTTTTCATACAAGCCTCGTTCGTTTAAAATAGAATTGAAAATTTCAAAACATATACCGGTCCTGCATTTTAAGTGTAAATTCGACGGTATTTGCTTCTCATTATTGACCAATCTTTAAGTGGTATTTGTTCAATGTATGCCACGAAGTAGGTATCTACCTGATTTCACCATGGGCAACCAATATGTTATTTGATTTGCACGCATTTACATATACCGCAATTATTTGCCAACCCAACTACTGGCCTTTAAAAGGATGTTATTGTGAAAATGAATTAAATATTGAAATATCTAGCTTTAATAATTATTTTTGTTGTTACAGGTGAAAATCTGGTTCCAGAACCACAGGTACAAGTGCAAGCGTCAGGCGAAAGAGAAGGCGATGGCCGAACAAAACCAACACAACCAGGTAAGGTACCGCATACCTTCGCTCCGATCGAGGGTCCTACAATAACAAAAACGAACCCATCATTCATTCATCGAAAAACGGAAGAATGGAATTATTGTAGCGAGTAAATAATGTTTTCGAAAGTAATCATCGAGGGTTTTGAGCTTTTAATCCGATTTGGTGGTTTGACTTTGAAAGGGTTCATCATCTTAATGTGGTTTAGAATAATACAAAAATTATTATATTATAGTATTTAGGAGGTACCTACACTTATTAGTTTGGTGGACGTATTTTGTTTTAAATAATGATTGATGGCAGCAAAAAAACAGCCGGTAATTAATTCAAACATCGTACCTGTGAGGATAAAAAAAGAACTACAAAGAACTCTCTCAAGGTGTCCAAAGACAACAATCAGTTCACTCAAAAACGGCCTTGGTAAATACACAAGTACTAGAGAAGAGACGGCTAGGGGACTCCTAAGAACCCACTTTCCGGGCTCAAAGATAGCAGTTGATCAGACTCAGTGGACATGGAATGAGCCTATAGGCTTCGAAGAACATCCAGGAACGAGTGGCTGACCACGATGAGAAAGTCAAATGGGCTATAAACACCCTTGACCCGTACAAGTCAACAGGGATAGATGGGATCTATCCCATAATGTTACAGAACGGAACCGAACTAGCACACAGGATACACTGCAACATTCTAAGAAGTAGCTTAGCCTTTGGCTATATACCAAAGACTTGGAGACACATTAGGGTAACGTTCACAGGCTGGAAAAATAGGACAGGACACGGCAAAGTTATTTGAGTCTTAAGCTCAACTCGAAAAACTTGTGGATGCGCATACATGAGGGACGGAGTGTTGGCAAGCCGACTACTACACCCATACTAGTGTGATTATCGGACAGGAAGCCTCTGTTTTTTAGGCAGAGGTCTATGCTATACTCCAGTGAATAACAGAATAGTTGCAGCTTGCAGCCAACAGGCAGATCCTTATAATTTATAATGTACGACAGTCAAGCTGCACTCAAGGCCCTTCCGAGCCAGACAGTGTCATCAAGACTAGTATCGGAATGACAGAAAGAACTTTGGGCCCTGGCGGACCAAAATAAGGTAAAACTTATCCTGGGTGCTAGGACACAGAGGAATCGTCAATCGAAGGCAACGAAAATGCTGACGAACTCGCGAAAAGAGATTCAGAGACAACACCTACCCGACTAGGGCAGGCTTTAGGGATACCAAAAGCCAAAAAGTGTGACCAGAAGCTACATCAAAGACTGGATTCGTAAAGAACATGGACACTACTGGAGAACTTCCAGTCAGAATCATGGTAGGGAGTTTATCGACCAACCATACAAAAAAAGGACCGCAGAACTACTACAAATGAGAAGGAGCCGACTAAAGACTATAACGGGCCTTATGGCAGGCCACACAACACTAACAGTAAAGGTCTACCTGAACAGGATGAACCTGTATGACGAAGACCTTAACTGCAGACGCTGCAATAAGGAACCTCAACCAACCATAGTCTCGGAAACAATAATGAAACACCACTCAGTAAAAGACCTGTACAACCTTGTACAGGCCCCACAGGGCACCAAAATACTAGAGTGTTTGGAATAGAGCAAACAGGCTAAGCACAATAAGTCTTCTCAGGCTTCAGCGCAACATGGGGACAATAAGTCGAACAGCAGGTCTGAGAGAGAGAGAAAAAAAAATAAAATAAACATTGAATCAAATTAAATTATTATCACTGACAGCTTTAACATTATTTTAATGATGTAATAGTGATAAACTATATTCAATGAATTAAGCGTATATTGTTTATTGTGTATTTAGGTAGAAAAGTGCGACATTCGAACGTACGCATGCGCAAAAACATCAACTTCGCGTTCACGGATACGTATGGGGTCAGTGAGCTAAAGTATCTTTGCATACGGACCAAACAGGTCTATAAACCTAGCAGTCCCAAGGTGGAAAAAAACTTTGGAAACTATATAATAATTAGGTGGTTTTTAGGTGCTAATTAGGGCCTCTAATTGAAAATTAGGTGCTCCACTAGTTTTTGAGAAAATCAAGAAAAACTAAGGGATTGCTAGATTTATGAAAGCTAGAAGTCCCCTATGGTAAAAAATATTTTTCCAAAAATTTTTTTTGTATAATAATTAGGTGGTTAGTTTGGTGGACGTATTTTGTTTTAAATAATGATTGATGGCAGCAAAAAAACAGCCGGTAATTAATTCAAACATCGTACCTGTGAGGATAAAAAAAGAACTACAAAGAACTCTCTCAAGGTGTCCAAAGACAACAATCAGTTCACTCAAAAACGGCCTTGGTAAATACACAAGTACTAGAGAAGAGACGGCTAGGGGACTCCTAAGAACCCACTTTCCGGGCTCAAAGATAGCAGTTGATCAGACTCAGTGGACATGGAATGAGCCTATAGGCTTCGAAGAACATCCAGGAACGAGTGGCTGACCTCGATGAGAAAGTCAAATGGGCTATAAACACCCTTGACCCGTACAAGTCAACAGGGATAGATGGGATCTATCCCATAATGTTACAGAACGGAACCGAACTAGCACACAGGATACACTGCAACATTCTAAGAAGTAGCTTAGCCTTTGGCTATATACCAAAGACTTGGAGACACATTAGGGTAACGTTCACAGGCTGGAAAAATAGGACAGGACACGGCAAAGTTATTTGAGTCTTAAGCTCAACTCGAAAAACTTGTGGATGCGCATACATGAGAGACGGAGTGTTGGCAAGCCGACTACTACACCCATACTAGTGTGATTATCGGACAGGAAGCCTCTGTTTTTCAGGCAGAGGTCCATGCTATACTCCAGTGAATAACAGAATAGTTGCAGCTTGCAGCCAACAGGCAGATCCTTATAATTTATAATGTCCGACAGTCAAGCTGCACTCAAGGCCCTTCCGAGCCAGACAGTGTCATCAAGACTAGTATCGGAATGACAGAAAGAACTTTGGGCCCTGGCGGACCAAAATAAGGTAAAACTTATCCTGGGTGCTAGGACACAGAGGAATCGTCAATCGAAGGCAACGAAAATGCTGACGAAATCGCGAAAAGAGATTCAGAGACAACACCTACCCGACTAGGGCAGGCTTTAGGGATACCAAAAGCCCAAAAGTGTGACCAGAAGCTACATCAAAGACTGGATTCGTAAAGAACATGGACACTACTGGAGAACTTCCAGTGAGAATCATGGTAAGGAGTTCATTGACCAACCATACAGAAAAAGGACCGCAGAACTACTACAAATGAGAAGGAGCCGACTAAAGACTATAACGGGCCTTATGGCAGGCCACACAACACTAACAGTAAAGCTCCACCTGAACAGGATGAACCTGTATGACGAAGACCTTAACTGCAGACGCTGCAATAAGGAACCTCAACCAACCATAGTCCCGGAAACAATAATGAAACACCACCCAGTAAAAGACCTGTACAACCTTGTACAGGCCCCACAGGGCACCAAAATACTAGAGTGTTTGGAATAGAGCAAACAGGCTAAGCACAATAAGTCTTCTCAGGCTTCAGCGCAACATGGGGACAATAAGTCGAACAGCAGGTCTGAGAGAGAGAGAAAAAAAAAAAAAAACATTGAATCAAATTAAATTATTATCACTGACAGCTTTAACATTATTTTAATGATGTAATAGTGATAAACTATATTCAATGAATTAAAAGTATATTGTTTATTGTGTATTTAGGTAGAAAAGTGAGACATTCGAACGTACGCATGCGCAAAAACATCAAATTCGCGTTCACGGATACGTATGGGGTCAGTGAGCTAAAGTATCTTTGCATACGGACCAAACAGGTCTATAAACCTAGCAGTCCCAAGGTGGAAAAAAACTTTGGAAACTATATAATAATTAGGTGGTTTTTAGGTGCTAATTAGGGCCTCTAATTAAAAATTAGGTGCTTTTCTAGTTTTTGAGAAAATCAAGAAAAACTAAGGGATTGCTAGGTTTATGAAAGCTAGAAGTCCCCTATGGTAAAAAATATTTTTCCAAAAATTTCTTCTGTATAATAATTAGGTGCTTTTTAGGTGCTAATTAGGGCCTCTAATTGAAAATTAGGTGCTCCACTAGTTTTTGAGAAAATCAAGAAAAACTAAGGGATTGCTAGGTTTATGAAAGCTAGTAGTCCCGTAGTCCCCTATAGTGAAAAATATTTTTTCAAAAATTTCTTTTGTATCAGAATTAGGTGCTTTTTAGGTGCTCCCAAATAGTCGAAGAAAAAATAGAATTGATTAATTATTAACTAACAGATTTTTTTTTAATTATTAGGGGACTGCTGGCTTTACGTTTACTTGTTGGTGTGTCAGAATGGCAAAAAAACTTCGGGATCTATATAATAATTAGGTGCTTTTTAGGTGCTAATTAGAGCCTCTAATTAAAAATTAGGGGCTCCTCTAGTTTTTGAGAAAATCAAAAAAAACTAAGGGATTGCTAGGTTTATGAAAGCTAGAAATCCCCTATAGTAAAAAATATTTTTCCAAAAATTTCTTCTGTATAATAATTAGGTGCTTTTTAGGTGTTAATTAGGGCCTCTAATTAAAAATTAAGTGCTCCTCTAGTTTTTGAGAAAATCAAGAAAAACTAAGGGATTGCTAGGTTTATGAAAGGTAGTAGTTAGTCCCCTATAGTGAAAAATATTTTTCCAAAAATTTCTTTTGTATCAGAATTAGGTGCTTTTTAGGTGCTCCTAAATAGTCGAAGAAAAAATAGAATTGATTAATTATTAACTGAGTTACAGATTCGTTGTAAATACACCTTCAAGTAAACTTAAAACCAGCAGTCCTCTAATAATGATAAAAATCTGTAATTCGGTTAATAATTGACTGATTCAAGTTTTTCTTCGACTATTTAGAAGCACTTAAATAGCACCTGATTCCAATATAACATATTAGATATTAGCCACTGACATCGGATTTGTTGCAAATACACTCCCTAGTAAACGTTAAGCCGGCAGTCCCCTAATAATGA